GCTGCACTTCGATCAGTTCATTGACCAACTCAAGGTGATGGATTTTTGCATTTGCGTCTGTCTAGTTTCCATGTTTTACATTGTCCCGTAATAAAGATTCAACTGTCAGACATGGGTCGTAAAGCTGTCTAGTAGGATAAATCAAATCACATTGTGGTCTCGCCTGGGTTGTGGCTGGTGTATTTGATTTTAGAGGATTGTGCAGCAGTGGGAAAAGTTTAATGTTTTGGTGGTATGAACTACAGTATGATTTTGCATCAAGTCGGCGCAGAGAGTTGGACAATTACCACCTTATGCTTGACATATCATTTTTACTAATTAAGTTTACCTAGATCATACAGTGAATTGTCTGTAGTTTCACAAATTGGTTTTATTCCATCACTGCTCTTGTTCCATATATACTTGTTTGTAAACTTTGTTCTGTTTGTTTTTTATTGCAGCCATCTGACCTGGAGAAGGCCCAGTTGGGTCTGGGGCATAGCTATAGCAGGGCAAAGGTCAAGTTCAATGTGAATCGCGTGGATAACATGGTGATTCAAGCCATCTTTCTGTTGGATACACTCGATAAGGATGTCAATTCCTTCTCCATGAGAGTGAGGTTGGTTCCTCATCTTATTCTTAAAGGGCAACCTGGTGCATGTAGCTCCCGCTTGCGCAGGGTCCAGGGAAGGGTCCGACCACTTTGGGTCTATAGTACGCAGCCTTTCCCTACATTTCTGTAAGAGGCTGTTTCCAGGACTTGAACCCATGACCTCATCTTATTCTTAACTTGCTTAATTTATTAACCAGTATCTGGTTCTTTGGTTTGGCTGTCGCGATGAGACTTGGATTATCTCAAAAAGAAAAGTTGATGGCGACATACAAGTCCTGAGAAAGTTCTAGGTATAGGCACTAGAGTTGACATTTGTTCATTACTTTTCCAGTTTAGCTGTCAGTATATGCTGGTTATGCCACAATTTCTGATTGCAGGAATTAAAAAAACAGCTGAAATTTGATTAATGTCGTTTGTATGCCTCTTCTTTTGTAACCAGTTTTTCTTTTACATCAGTGGCATCAATCATATTTTGTCTATATGCTATATTTCAAACCCTAAGCCCAAGTCTCTGGTTTTACCATGCGCATTCAATTGCGTATTGTGAGTCTTGACAAATCTCCTCAATTCACGTGATCAAATACATCTTCCTGTGTTTATGTTAGTTGCATGTCCAGTCATGTCACTTTCGGGCTTACAGTGACATACGTGCTGTGTACACTGTACTATCTTACAGTATATCCCATGGTAGTGAAAGATCATTTTAACTTATCAACTGTGCAGTATATCCTGCACTATGTATGCTTTTTTGGGGGGGCAACACTGTATGCTTTTGGTGGGTGTAATGACAAATTTCTTTTTCTTTTTACCCTTGTTGGCGCTGTAACTAGTTTTAAACATTTGTCACTGTAGTTGTGTTAGTTGCATGGGTGTATTAATTGTTGCTTAACCATGATGCAGGGAGTGGTATGGATGGCATTTTCCTGAGCTGGTCAAAATTGTGAATGACAACTACCTTTATGCTAAGCTTGCCAAATTTGTAGTAAACAAATCTGATTTGTCAGAGAAAGACATTCCAGCTTTAGCAGATCTTATTGGAGATGAGGACAAGGCAAAAGAAATTGTTGAAGCAGCAAAGGCATCTATGGGTAACAACCATCTCCACAATTGGTATTGCTTCTCAGTAGTTGCCATGGTTGCTTAGTTTACGTATTCTTTTTATTTTCAGGCCAGGACCTTTCACCAGTTGATTTGATCAATGTCCAACAGTTTGCTCAAAGGGTCATGAATCTATCTGAGTACCGTAAAAATCTCTATGAGTATCTGGTGACAAAGATGAATGATATTGCACCTAATCTGACGTCATTGATTGGTGAAATGGTTGGAGCTCGGTTAATCTCTCATGCTGGCAGTCTTTCAAATCTTGCAAAATGCCCTGCCTCCACTCTCCAGATACTAGGTGCTGAGAAGGCGCTCTTCAGGTAATTGTGACTGACTGGACTGCCTATGCATTCCCACACCCTATTTCCAAGCTGTGCTTTCTTATTTGTAGTTGCCCTTCTACTCAAGTACTAACTGTTTCGTCAAGTATTCAGACTTTGTCCTCTATGCTTCTGAAATATTGTGATTGATTTCCTAATTTTACCGCAGAGCTCTTAAAACACGTGGAAACACACCGAAGTATGGCCTCATATTCCACTCATCTTTTATTGGCCGTGCATCGACCAAGAACAAGGGAAGAATGGCTAGATACCTGGCAAACAAATGCTCAATTGCTTCACGCATTGACTGTTATTCAGGTTAGTTGAAGGACTTTGTTTGCAAAGGTTAAACATCCTGACTGCCTTTTCTGTTTGTTTTCCTCACTGGTTTATGAATTCCAGATATGAGTAGCTCCATTTTTGGTGAGAAACTGCGTGAACAAGTCGAGGAGAGATTAGACTTTTATGACAAGGGTGTTGCACCACGCAAGAACCTTGATGTAATGAAAGCTGCAATTGAGGAGGGTATGACCAACACAGTCTCAGAGGAGGGTAAGGGTACTTGTCTTTATATATTGGTCTCTCAATAACTTAATTTCAAGTCTTTTTGTACATGTGTATATTTACACCTTGCCCTGAACATTTCTTTTCGCAGATAAGGAGAAGGAGAACGGTGACACGACTGCCAAGAGAAGTAAGAAAAAGAAGTCCAAATCTGAGGCTGACGGTGACGCCATGGATCTTGATAAGCCTGCCAACACGGCGGCAGCAGAAGAAGGGACAGAGAAGAAGAAAAAGAAAAAGAAGCACAAGCTAGAGGAGCCCCAGGATCAAGAGATGGCAGCCAATGTCGATGGCGAGCAAGACGAGACTCCCAAGAAAAAGAAAAAGAAGAACCGTGATGCTGCAGAGTCTGTTGAGCCTAAGACGGCCACAGAAGGGAAAAAGAAAAAAAAGAAGTCCAAAACCGAGGCCGATGATTAGACGACTAGAACCTCTTTGTTGTGCTTAATGAAATCAAACATCTAGTATACTGTATAATTTATGTGCAACCATGGACCTAATCGGGTCTCGACTATTGAATCTTTCATCATCCTGTGGTGGTGCTGATCACATTTTGAGGTCTATAATGTGGAAGAGCGTGGATTGAGGAGGCTGTTCAACTATTTTGCAGTTTGGAGCATGTTTTGCGATTCATGTTTCATATACTAGTAAGTAGGCCCTGTTGCAGCACTAGAGTAGTTTGGTCTTGCATTTCTTGATTAGCAAGCACTTGGGATGTTTTGATTCTTCAGGGTCTGTTATTGCTTGGTTTGGTCAAATCTTATTTCCGAGTTATTTCTCTCTGCACTTGCACACATTTTGAGGTCTATTATCTAGAATCGAGGAGCCTGTTCAGCTAGCGAGTAGCCCTGTTGCACCAGAGTCTGCTTTTCATTTTTTGAACAAGATGTATTAAAGACATTACTGTTGCCTTGAGCTACATACACTTACTAACATAGATCTTGGCTTCCTGCCTGCCTCTTGTTGGTTAGGGGTTACTCATGATTGTGCATGTGATTTCTGAAAACATATTGTCATAATATGAATGCTAAGGCCTTGTTTGGATTACCGTTGTAGTTTCAGATACCTCTGTAGAAAAAAAATACAGACCTCTGTCCATTGTTTTGTTTCCGACTGAAAATCTGCTAGTGGCCGGTAAGTTACTCGTGTAAATAAAATAAATAATAGTGGTCGGTAAGTTACTCGTGTAAAATAAATACGTCTGTATTTGATTACACTGATTCCAAGCGCGGCCTAATGGCACTGGAGTTACAAAATCACTTGAGTTGCAAAGGTAATCGACTGAGTGGTTTTGCTCTTGCTGTTGGTTGCCCCTTTAGTCTGGACTGGACTGAAATGCTGGGTTGCTGGTGTACTGAAATGCTGTGTTTGCTCCTTCTGCCTTTTCTCCATTCCTTCCTTCTTGACACCGTCTTCGCTCTTGCTACTCTTACTCCACTTCCTCCAGGACCTGCTCCACTTGATGAACCACCCCGAGCCTCCTGAACCATGCCGCGACGGCTCTTGGCCGATCGCGACGCCCTAGCCAACACAAAATCCATTCGTAAGGTCACATTGACGATAAACCTAATGCAATTCAGAAGTCGAGCCATTTCTAGTTCAATGTGGAGTAAAGAGTTGAGATGAGAAACTCATTCACAGATTATAAACATGAAACTCGGTAAACAAGATGCGAGTAAAGTAAGAGCATGTTCATCCTGCAATTAGAAAGAAAATAAATATCACACAAAATCTTAGGCAATGGTGGTGCCAAAAAATAGCACAGAAACATGCAGAGAGAGAGAGAGAGAGAGAGAGCATTTCAGTTTCTCAAGTATTGCTGCATCACGCCCGTGCAAGCCGAAGAGGGCTCTATCCGCTGACGAGATCGAATCCCCACCGTCCGTGGGTGATAGATCCGATCGAGCGGCCAGGATGCCCATCCAATCAGAGGTTGAGCAGCCTGCCGTGCAATTTTTTTGAGCAGCCCCGGCCCAGCTTCGAAGAAACAAGAAGCAGGACTCGATTGCCCTCCCGAAGTGCAACCTCTAAGGCCTTCTTTCGTTTAGAGGAATTTCATAGGAATTCTCTAGAGGATAGGATTTTTATAGGATTTTTTTAAACCCTTTTGGTTCATAAAAATGGATTCCTATTTCTACATAGGATTGGTTTCTATCCTTCACATTTCATAGGAAAATAAAAAAAAGTTTAGACTCAATGGAAAAATTCCTTTGGTGTCAATCAAATGACATCTTGTTTCCTATTCCTACTCATAGGATTTGAGATACATATCATCTCATTTCGTACAAGATTCCTATTCCTATAATAATCTTATCCTATGAACCCAAACAGGCCTAACCGTTTAGCCTGTATTTATGGACTGAGGTGTGGCCGGCCTCGATTTTTGATCCGCGCAGTCTCCGTTAACCCGCCGACCGCCACCCATGGCAGAGACCACCGAGAACGAGTACCACACTGATGAAGAGGAAGACCTGGTCGGAGAGGAGGAAGGAGGCACCGGGATCGAAGGCGAGGAGGGTGGAGGCGCCGGAGAGAAGAGGAAGCGGCCTCTGAACAAGAGTCTGGGTGGCTTCAGCAAGCGTGGGGTGTGCTACCTCAGCCGCGGACGAGGATCCCCTGCCGTGGCCAAGCCTACCTTTGAGTCACTGACACACGGGTCCCACAAAGCATGGGGCCCACCTGTCAGTGACTCAAAGGCAGGGTATGGCAGGGATTGCAAAGTCAGAGGATCCACGTCCCTCAGCCGCGTCCCTCCCCACATGAACCCGTCGCACGTCCGACAAATCTTCTCCAAGTACGGCGAGGTGCAGAGGATCTACCTCGTACCCGAAGGTAATCCCCCGTCATGAACTGACTGAATTGGTGGCTGCGTTTTTTATGTCCAATTTGTGATGATACGGTGCCAAAGCTAAGCAGCGTTCATTTGAGGAACACAAATAAGCTGAAAGCCCTACTTTTTTATTCCTGCGAATACGCAAAGGGCAATGCAGCGATGTTAGCCAGCCTATAAAAAACAAAGAGAACAAACCATATTTATCTGATCTTCAAGTCTCCCTTGTGGATGATCGAGGGAGATGCGTGTAATCCCGCGCAGAGTTTCTGCTGCATATAACATGCCTCAACGCGTGTAACAAGCCTGTATTTCGGTAGCAGAAGGCTGTTCATGGAGTTCTAGGTTTGTTTGTCTTGCTTGTATTTGTGAAAACATTCTTCATTTCTTCTAGGGGAAGGGGAAAATTCAAATAGAAAACATGTCATCGAATGATAATCATGTTTTGCATGCTGATTGCACATGTTGCTGCGGCAGTATACTGTGCAGCGACAGCGAGTTGTTTTTCCTGTCCCTCGTGGTTATACGTCTTAGAATGTGAAGTGCTCTACTGCTCTTTATAATGCCCACCATATTTGTAAATGAAAAGAACCCAACTTCTTAACTGTCATCTACTAATGTCATCTCTTTCCTCCAGGTCAAGGTCATCGCAAGCATAGTAACGTAAAAGCGAAGGCTTACTCCGAAGGGTATGTTGTCAAAATACACAGATGAGCTGCTTTGTAGAGACTTGCTAGATCCCAGTTTTCGGTTTTATGCTGAAAGTCAAACATGGAGCAATACTTACCATTGTCTACTTATTGCATTTCTGGAGTAGTCATGTAAAGATGTGGTAGATGATGCGTAGTATTTCACAATTTTGACATATTTTTATTGTTGTATTTGTTACTTGTATGGCCTTAATAATGTTCCTAAAATCTTTCTAGGTGGGTTGAGTTTGCAAAGAAAAGTGTCGCCAAGAGGGTGGCTAATCTGCTTAATGGTGAACAAATAGGTTTGTTCTCGGCTCTATGTTTCATGTGTTTTATTCTTTCTATGTTACCGTTGATTTACATTAGATATACTGAACATGGATGATATGTTCTTCCTTTTTACTGCTCAACCCTCAAACCCCTCAAATTTTTGGCCTCAAAAGGATTGCTTTTGTCGGCTCTGTCATGTTTGAAGAGCTATACAATGTGTGCTAGAGAGCTCAATTATTCTTGTATGTATTTTATTAGGTGGGAAGAAGAGGTCATCATTTTATTATGACATCTGGAACATAAAGTATCTCAGGAAGTTCAAATGGGATGATCTGGTTGGTGAAATAGGTATGCCTAAAGTACAAAACTGTAAAGTAGCTATAAACTTGTCAGTAATGTGAACTGATTTGTACGTAGTCTAATCCTTGTAGTTTAATGCAGCTGAGAAGACTCATATCAGGGAACAGAAATTAACATTGGAGATAACAGCTGCGAAGAAACAACGTGATCATTATCTCTCTAATGCTGAAAAGTCTCGTACACAGAAATTTATTCGTGAGCGCATAGAAAAGGTATGCTGTATTGTTTAACATACCTCTGCTAGCATAATTCACGCTGGGGATTTTCTTTCTGTCCTGTGCCATCTTTATTTATGACTAGTAAGATGCCCGTGCTACGCTACGGGATAAAAAAAAGGTTAACTTAAGTTATAGTTACGATCCCATACGCTGCTGCTGACAAAATAAAAAAATATACAGTCATTGATCAAAGTAATGATGTGTTGTTGATAGATACATAAATATCAAGCACAATCAAAAATATGGTTTGCAATCCACAAACCCATGCGTCCAAGCCAAACAGTTTCTTCTCCATCTCCGCCTCACTGAAAGACTTGTTGTACTCCACATTGAGTTTTATCATTGCTCGCTCTATCCTATATCAAGTTGATAGAGACCATGCGGCAGATAGAAAATCTGTTCACACACATGTGGCAACAACGGCGACACTGAATCCAAATCGGTCAACTTCACGACTGACCAGCTTTATCTCTGAATCCAAATTGGTCTGATTTCAAGTCCTCTTTGCTTCACTTGGACGCCACCTCCATCCCATACACCATTTCCAGCTAGAAATGGTAACAAATCAAGCACCTCATTTAAACCTGGCCTTAATATCAATAATGGAATAACATGATGCGACATATTGATATTTGTCCCCACAACTCAGTGCAATGGAAGTGCGACTGGCACCGACCCGTGCGTTGCCACGGGAAAACGTTTTAGAGGTGACACCATTCCAAGAGAGATAAAGCTCAAATGGATTTGAATATTTCGCTTATGTTTGTTAGCGAAAACATTTTGATTACAGTTTTAGCATACAAATATTTACTTACGAAGTAAACTTGAAATAAATAAAAAGAGGCCTGCATTTCTAGATGATGAATGAAAAAGATTGTAAACATATGTGTTCTCAGTCATGTATGCAAGATAGAAATAAAGCATGAATAAACAAACTTCGGCTAAAACATTACAACTACAAGGACACACATCATGACAATTTTCCAAATACAATGTGCCATAATGTCTTATTTTGTTTATTTGCCACTATTTCTTCATTCTTAAAACCAATCATCTCATGAATCATACAGGCCTCGACACAAGAACCGCATCATCAAAAAGTTGCATCATGGAAAATCAACAAAGAGCATAATCAATTGTTATTAAGCTTAGAGATGTATGTACAAGAATATGACAGAAGTAGCACTATCTCTCCCTGCCACAAAGTAGAGTATCTTCCATCTAAAAAACATAAGCGCTACATAGCTTATATGTGCAACAAGTATCTCCCCTCACTGTAAAAAAACAGAGTATTTAACTTTGCTACAAAGCAGCTCGTGAAGCACAGAAAATTAGTCTAACTTTCAGCCTCTGCTTCGCCTTCTCAGTGCACCGCACACCTCCAGTCCACTGACCTCTACCAATGCGGCTCTCGTCTATTTTAGTCTCCAGCAAGCACTGTTTAATAGCAAAATTATCAATGACCATGTTTTACAGTATGAAACATAGACACATATATATTGGTAATACACAACAAAGTATATACACGTTTTTCCCATTTATCAGATAGGTGCCTTGTATTATGTTACATCTTACAAAGAAATGCTCAATGTATAGGAAGCCACTGGAGGCGACGCCCCTAGAAGGCATTCATTGTTCTAATCATTAGATTATTTCTTAAATAAACAAACTTTCATCCTCTTCTACATTATATAAAGCAAGATTTGACTGTAACAAGATGAAAAGACAAAGCTACCTACTGCCTGCTACTTGAGCAAAACATAAAAAATATCTTCCAGCCAGGAACTCTGTTTAGTAAGATCAGGATCTTCTGGCTATTTTTTTAACATAATATTTCAGTCATCTTAAATTTGTTTCTCATACTGATGCTGATGCTTATTATAACTACTTTCCTTGGTGAGAAACACATTTTTTTAAATACCATCTGGCATAGAAGATCAAGCATATCACTCTAGGTTAGTTCTGTATGATGCAAGGTGTTGTAATGTTTACACTACATACACATGTAAAGGAAGAAATAATTTGTAGTGCTTACCTCATAGCGAGAAGGTACATTTGTTGTGCACATGTAAATGTCTGACGTGAGGAAGCTGACATTTACAAAATAAAAAATATCATGAACACTAAAGCAAGTATCCAAGTTGCCATTTTGAAAGTCCACTGCCCAAACTTCAGACCTGTAGATGGAAAACAATTTTAGATGACTGGCCCTGGTTATAAATATTGAAATTTTAACAGACACCAAATTGTACTTGAGTGATTGATACCTTGGACTACACATTGAGAACTTCTTTGTAGACTATGTTCTTTGTAAATTTTGCAATGGAGTTGGACCGGCCTTCCTCTTCCTTACCCGGGATAGTAAGAATCTTCAGATTACTTCTAGACGTAGCTCTAGAAAGAGCAACATAGAGTTGGCCATGTGAAAATACAGGTTCAGGGAGGTATACACCAACATTTGGTATAGTTTGTCCTTGTGCCTTGTTAATGGTCATAGCAAAGCTAAGTCTAATAGGGAATTGCTTCCTCTTGAACCTAAATGGAAACATCTCGTCGTCTGACGGGCAGAGAGGAATTCGAGGAAGGAACACCCTCTTACCAGCATGCTGGCCCAGCACAATCTCAGCATCAATTGCATTCCTCATGAACCCCCGGACAACCAACCTAGTCCCATTGCACAACCCATTCGCTGGGTCAATGTTCCGTAACAATATAATAGGGCAATTAATCTTCAACTTTAGGATGTGGGGAGGTAGCCCATTAGGTGTTAATGAATTTAAGAATTCTGCAGGATAGTAGTTGTGTGGATCATCCTCAGCCCGATCAAAACTGTGGTATACCATCTCCTCCCCAGGAAATCTCTCAATCATCCTCATGTTGATCTTGTCAATGTACTCATTCCGAGTTGACAAAATTGCTCGAGATGTTATGTAGTTTGGATCTGAGATGTTTTCATCTTGCAGCATCAGGAACACACTTTCAATAAGCTTGTCAATATCAGAGGCGTCATCACCGGTGTTTGGTATGCAAATCTCATCTGGAAGTCGTATGTAACCATCATCCACCGTATCTTCGGTGCCATTCCCAACACGCAGAAGATAATCAGCAAACCATGGATCAACCTGAGCCCTCATATTACGGACCAGTCTTAGTTGTCTCATACTATTCCAAAGATAAGACTTACGTAGGGTCGCATCAGTTATCTGTGACCTTGTTCCCTTACGAACAACAGGAAGCACTTGTCTAAAGTCTCCCCCAAACACAACCGTCTTTCCACCAAACGGCAGGTCAGGTTGACCCATGATGTCCCTCATGCTATTGTCCAGGGCCTCGACTGCCTGGCGCTTTGTCATGGAGGCCTCATCCCAAATTATGAGGGACGCCCTCATAAGAAGCTTAGTTATCCCACTTTGCTTGGCGAAACTACAAACCCCACCGTCTTCAATGTTAGTGGTATTTTAAACCTCGAGTGTGCAGTCCTCCCTCCAGCCAAGATGGATGCAACAACACCTGACGTCGCTGTTGCAACAGCTATCTGACCCTCACCACGTACTTTTGCAAGTAGAGCTTTGTACAGATATGTTTTTCCTGTGCCTCCTGGTCCATCGACAAAGAACACACCTCCCTGGCCACTATTAATTGTCGCAAGTATCTCATCATATGCATATCTCTGTTCTGGGTTTAGAAAAGATGACAAGCCAATGTGTTCTGGGTCCACCTCGATCGTGGACTCCTCTATGATCTCCCTAGCCTCATTATCTGGGGCATCATATGAGTCGTCAATTTCTGGAAGAGGGAATGACGATATGTCCTTCCCCATCGATTGTAGCATGGTTTTTATATCTAACAGAGCCATCTGCTCAACTTCATGGGGGGACATGTGGGTTAGTCGATAGTCTTCTGTCATAGCTTCCAAGTGCCGGTCCCATAGGCCACGCACATCGCTGGGCTCACAAAAGACCAATATAGTAGCAAATAGCCTCCGAAGGGAAGATGGCATCTGAAAAACCTCAGCCTCATTAAGACACTCGTCGATACTATTGTCAGACTCGATAAGGCCCCTATTTTCAGCAGCTTCACGGAATGTTGGGAAAACAATACCATTCACCGTCCTTAGGTCTTGGAAGGATGTAGCACCCGTGACATGATTTAGAAGCACTCTAAGATAATACCTCTCCCCTTCAGCTGGATGTGCAGACACAATTCTCCCAATCTGCGTGTGTTTAGCCCTCCTTTTCCAATACTTGCTACCTGACACCCAAACAAAAGACGCAGGGAAATCCTTATATAAGATTCCTCGAGCCAACTCATATTTCTTGTTTGCCTCAAAATACTCGGTTAACATGGTCTTGGAAGCTCCTTCTTGAGAGAGGACATCATTCAGATTTGCGCCCGTTGGAAACGACACCATGTGCATATTAGGGAGGTGGAGTTGTAGTTGTTTAACAGATGGAAATATCTCACTAAGGTCAAAACCATAGATCCTCCACAATGCTTCTGGTGGAGTAACCCACCTGGAATCTCTGTATTGCTTTATTTCATCAATGCTCCCATCATTATCCACCTCGTCGATAGAAACAGATGCTCGATCATGCCCCTTGTATATGTACTTAAAGAGGTACTTTACAGCTTTTATGCTTGAGCAAACCTTGACATTGATGTGGCAATTATACCTTCTTAGTAGGTAAGGATTGTATGGAACAACCCACCTATTGTCTAATTCTTCACCTCGTACCTTTGCACGACGTCCATCATCTCTCCTCCTGTATATGGGATATGAGTCCTTTCCCTGAAGAGTTGACGCATTAAATGGCCGTGGATAGTAGTTCTTGCAACTGCCATTTTGCATGCACACATTTTTGGGGTTTAGGACTCCACAAGGGCCATGCATCATATGCTTGACGACCATCTTGTACAACTCAGGGTACTTGAATTTGTCTGGCAATTCAGCAGATATGATACAATCATATTGCTCTGGGCATGTTAGCTTGTAC